TTCTAAACGTGATTGTTTTTAACGTCTGTCTTTCAGATGGAATAATATTCAACCACTTAGGTTATGGGGCACATGCTAAAGACATAATTTCAAATGCTAATAATGGTCTCCAAAAATGAGTTGCTATTATTATTCTATAGTAAGACACCCAAAAGGCATTTGACAGGGTTTGGTATGCAAGTCTTCTTCACAAGTTAAAAGATTATGATATTACTGGTGGGACTTTGAACTAATTCAGTCTTTCTATTTAAATCCCGAAATGAAACTCACCCGAAAATGCCACTCTTCTATATATATATATATATATATATATATATATATATATTGTTAATGAAGTAAAAATGTTGCCGTAAATGCAGGTGTTCCCCAGTGCTCTATCCATGGACTTAATGTTGTTCCTAATTTTCATCGATCCTGATGGCTTCATTCAGTTCTCAACTCGGTATCTATGCTGAAGACACAACTATTTCCTATAGTTTGAAGGGAAAGTCTGATCGGATCAATATGGTCAAATTGGCAGCTGATCTCAAAAATGACTTACAATCTGTTATTAACTGGGACAAGGAATGACTTGTGAATTTTAACACCTCCAAATAAAAACTGTTTTCTGTTAATCATCTGAGAAAACCCTTTCTGCCCTCCACCAGCATGGCTGATGTTAACCTCCAGAAGTGTGACAAGTGACGACTTCTCAAACCAACGTTCTTTGCTGACATGGTGTCTGTCATAGGTTTGCTGCTAGGAAAGTTGGTTCACTGTATCTTGCCAGACAATTTTTATCTCTAGAATCGATCTTACATATTTATACGTCTACCATTCGTTCATACTTCCAATATTGCTACCACATATGGTGCTCCTGTTATATATTTAGAGATTTGTGATAAAATTCAAAGAAGAATCTGCAATATTATTAATACTGATCTGGTATATCGGCTTCACTAACTTTTCCACTGCCTTAGTGTAGTTTTCTCTTGCTTTTTCTATAAATACTTTCACGGTAATTGTTCTGATGAGCTTTACTCTATGGTACGTAGACTTTATGAATTTTAGCGCAGTACTAGATTGGGGGTTAGGTCTCATCGTTTTACAATTGAATTGGCTAGATGTAACGATATGTTTTTTGCTAACAGTTTCTTTTCTCGTACTTTTTGCCTGTTGAAATCTCTTCCGGATTCTTGCTTTACAGACAACATTAATCTTCACAAAAGCAATGCCAATCATTATCTACTGTCTTCTTAATTCCTTTTTTTGTTTATTGTTGTCGCTCCTTAATAATGTTTTTCTTATTCTACTAACATTCGGACTATTGTCCTCATCTTTGTCGCCATATCACAACGTTTCGGCCGTTGTACGCTCCGGCCTTCTTCCTGTGGTTGGAATGCCGAAATGGGGTAAACAAAGATGTGGACAATAGTCTGAATAATGTAAATAGTGTACATAATACCTCATCTCAGAAATATAGAGAGGTTTTTCTTATTCTTTCACACACAGTAAATCCTTGTGTCTTCGTGGCTTTATTGCCTTTCACGGGGAGAAATTATTTAAATAAAAGCTTATTTTGTCAGACACAAGTCTGTAGATATTAGTCACTTAATCAGAATAGAAATTAAAAAAGTAGTAATGGTTTTCAAAATGAATAGCACCATAACAATGGGTGAAGTATTAGATTGGTATACAAATACGTTCGTTTTTTTTATAATTTATTTTAATACTTATTATTTACTAACAGTTCTGATGAATCATTCAATAATGTATTTCCAATCATTGTTTACGACCTCCAATAATTGCCTCGACGATAGAAATCATTTGGTTTGACTCGAAAAAATCATCACATCATGTTTTAAGCTCCACATCGTTGCTGAACGAAACACTCTTCCAATTATTAGAACGCAACAGAAAAATGTGGTAGTCTGAAAGAACTAAATCAGGAGATTATGGTGGGTGTTGCAGAATTTTCCAACCAAGCTCTTTCTGCCTTTGTATCCACAAGTCGCCAGGTGTCGAGCGAGTAAACTGGAGCCAGTTGATGATCGCTGGCGTTTGTTTCTTTTGGCCAATACATGTGGAATCCATACGCCGTGTTTCTGGACCCATTGAGCGAAGATGACAAGCGACAGTAACATCACAGCTTGCCATCTTCTGAGCCAATTGCCTTGGGGTCTTGCGCGGTTCCTCTTTAATCAACGCGTGCAATTGGTTCTCATCAAACTGAACAGGTCGGCCAGAACACAGAGTCTGTGAGTTCGAACTCCCTCACCTTGGAACGGGGAAAAAACATTTCTATGCCATTCCGTCGGCAATGAAGCCATCTCTGCACACAACACAAATATCTCGAGCAGCTTTGACAGTTTTGTGATCTTGATTAAAATCAAAGAGAAGAATTTATCGAACATGCTTATTCTTGGTTTGGTTTGTTTATTTTATGGCATATCAACACCTCAATGGGTTATTTAATGCCGACAAGGTTTTTATTGCTGGTAATTTTTTTTTCCAAAAATATATTGCTGGTAATAATTTTTTTCCCAAAAATTTATTGCTAGTAATATTTTTTTTTTTTGCAAAATGTATTGCTGGTAATATTTTTCCTTTTCAAAAATGTACTGCTGGTAATATTTAAAAAAAAAGTATTTCTAGTATTAAAACATATTTTTATACTTTCATAGTGTTTTAACCCTAGTTTGCTGGTTAACTATTTACCCATAGCTGGGACCCTGACAAGTGATACCACCCCGGCTGGAATACTGGGAACACCAGCAATTAAAAGGTGGTTCCATGCTCCTCAAAACATCCTGATCATTTTTTTTACTTTAACCATTCCCAGTTTTCATCTATGGTAGCCTATATGTGGCATTATTATGAAAAGGTCACATGTTATAAGAGTTGTCCTCCTTTTTCAGAATAATTCGCTTGTCTGCAATTCGTTATTCATTGCATGTTTCCTTCTCAACTTTAAAATAAAAAAAATAAACTTTAAACATATAAATTAATAATAAATAAAATACCATAACATTCCATAAATTATTGAGATACCTCTGTCATAGTATTTCATTTCAGTTATTAAATTTTAAGAAAATTTTATTATTTTTTTCAGAAAGCATCTTCAAAGGTAATTAAAAGTCAATAAAATATTTGATAATTGCTGAAAATATGTTAATTTGTAAAAATTACTAGATAGTTAAAAAAAAAATGCGTCAATTCTGGTCATCCATACTAGATGTCAACACTTAGGAGCTCATCGATAACATCAATAAAATATAACAAAACAGGAGCCGTCGTTAAGAAATGCTTGTATGCTATTTTTATGGTATGTAATATTTCTTTCAAATCAAATTAATTAGCAAATTTAAAGTTAAATTAATGATTAATTTAACTTTAAATTTGCTAATTTTATTCAAATAATGTGTCACAAATATATATTTCATTTTTGGAAGATTTTTAAATCCCATAATTTTGTTTTGTAGACAAATTTCTTAGAAGTGAAAAAATGGCCGCTTGTAAGCAAGCATTCCAATCTACATAATTTCTATTTGGAATACACCAGAGTATTTTATCTACTGGGAATATTAAATTTAATCCTTTAGCTTTTAATTAAAGCTAAAAAGAAACCTTCAAAAATGCGTTTTCATTTTTAAAAATTCATTTTACACCTTAGGTATTGTAAATATATGGAATTAGTGGAGGTACTTAAAGTAATATATATAGAGAGAGTAGCGGAATAACCATTATTCCCTTCTACAGCATCCAACCTCTCGTAAAGATTTGCAAATTTTAGTTGATATTTTATTCCATTCTTCTTTGCATATGGCCTTCAGATCTGGGATGTTTGTTGGAGCTCTCGATTGGATATGAATTTTCAAATAACGTCACAGATTCTCGATTGGAGATATGGGGACTGACTTGGCCATTTCAGGATATTTACATTATTTTCAGCAGGCCATTTCTTCGTAGATTTTGTAATGTGCTTAGGATCATTAACTTGTTGGAAGATCAAATCAGGAAGAAGTTCAAGATTTTCAACCGAAATCATTAAATTTGCTTTTGATATGCTTCGGCATTTATTCTACCATCTATTACTGATATATTGCCAGTACCTTTTGCAGAAAAAAACTCCCCCCCAAACCATAATGCTGCCACCATCAAGTTTCACTGTTGGAACTGTGTTCTTTTGTTTGAAGGCATCGCCATCTTTCCTCCATACATTATTTCTAGAAATACGTCCAAACGATTTTGGTTTCACCTGTCCATAATACTCTTTCCTAATATGATTTTTCCATATGCTTGAAAAATCTAATGCACACAGGACAGATTGCAGTCAAGAGGGACTGAGGAAAGAAACGCATTACCTACCTGGAGAGCGGGAGTAAATCGATGGCGGAACAAATTTTGGGAGAGATAGCAAAAGACAAAATTAATTAAAAGCTACGAAGGATAGGAAATTGTGGAGAGCCATGACCGTCTACATCCTGAAGAGACACGCCGCATAAAGAAGGAGACTAAACTGGACTATTTAAACTTTGGTGGTTACTAATCTAAGAGAAAGAAAACTTTGCATTCGCCACGGTTTAGAATTCAAACTTTTTCAAGAATGTATGTTAATCCACATATAATGAAGAAAAGAACATTGTGGAGGGCCATGATCGCTTACGTTGTGAAAGAACATTGTATTAAAAAAAATAAAAGAATGTATTGATTGATTTATTTTTTACGGCTTAGTATTACGAAGTGATCATTCATCTAGGCACTGACCAGGCTCGACGTTGCTTAACTCTGGTAATCGTATGAGAACCGGTGTTTGTAATAATTTTTTGGAGATTATCATGATTTACTGATACACATCTTACTAATTAACCCATAGCTGGGGGACGGAGAAGAGTTGGATTTACACCTTCCCCAAAATTATTTTCGCGTAAGTAAATGGAACGAACCTAACTGGAATTGGAACTCGGCTCTCCGATTTCCAATTCCGGCTCGTTATCCATTACACCACCCACACATTCAAGCTTACAGCACGTGATATTCCCAAGCGATTACCCATCTAGGAACTGACCAGGCTCGACGTTGCTTAATTTTGGTCATCGTACAGGAACTGGTATTTCAACGTGATCTGGTCGTAAGCTGGTAAGAATTACAGTTTATGAGGATATGTGGGAAAGCTAATGAATAACCCTGGACTCAAACAAGTTAAAATTCTAGTGGCTAGAGAAGCATCCTCTTGGGAGTTGATTTCCCATAGTAATCACTGGTGGGGTCATTTGAATATATTTAGCTAGTGTGTAGGGTGAAAACAAGACTAATAATTTGAAATAAAAAAACTATTAATAAAATGATGCTTATAACTGTCTTCAGGTCCTGATGTCTAAAGTAAATTGTTACGTCGGAAAGGATTCTCTCGTTTTTGACGAAAAGTCAAACAAGGTAAGTGTACTGTGTTTTATTGATTATTATTTATATTTTAATATATTTTATTTAGAAATAGGACGTATCTTCAAATTAGCAGAAGAGGCGTTAAGAATCTTTATTATTATTATTATTATTATTATTTTTATCTGAATTTCTGGGATCAGGAGTCATCATTATGTACACTATTTATATTCGGACTATTGTTTTTATCACCTGTTTGAATTTCTGGAATCAGGAGTCATCATTATGTACACTATTTATATTCGGACTATTGTTTTTATCACCTGTTTGAATTTCTGGAATCAGGAGTCATCATTATGTACACTATTTATATTCGGACTATTGTTTTTATCACCTGTTTGAATTTCTGGGATCAGGAGTCATCATTATGTACACTATTTATATTCGGACTTTTGTTTTTATCACCTGTTTGAATTTCTGGAATCAGGAGTCATCATTATGTACACTATTTATATTCGGACTATTGTTTTTATCACCTGTTTGAATTTCTGGGATCAGGAGTCATCATTATGTACACTATTTATATTCGGACTATTGTTTTTATCACCTGTTTGAATTTCTGAAATCAGGAGTCATCATTGTGTACACTATTTATATTCGGACTTTTGTTTTTATCACCTGTTTGAATTTCTGGGATCAGGAGTCATCATTATGTACACTATTTATATTCGGACTTTTGTTTTTATCACCTGTTTGAATTTCTGGAATCAGGAGTCATCATTATGTACACTTTTTATATTCGGACTATTGTTTTTATCACCTGTTTGAATTTCTGAAATCAGGAGTCATCATTGTGTACACTTTTTATATTCGGATTATTGGGATCATCATTGTTGTTATTACAACGACTTTCTCAGGTGTATATCGATCTGTGTAACGTACAGGGAATCCTGAACTGAATCCTTTATTTAATCTACGGGAGTAGCCATTCCCCATTCCACTGCCCATTTCTAGGGATATCTTTATATTTATTTAATATTGTTCAGTTATTGATAGCCCGTTTGTTATATTTGACGACGAAATGTTCCCCCGGTAGAATCTACAGCCACGTGCCCATGATCAAGGCGAGAAGACTTGTTGTCTGACCTGGAAAAGGGATTGGCGCCTCTGGATCTATTTTGCCGAAGACATACCACTGTTCTTGTTTCTAGAGATATATTTATTTTTATTTAGTACTGTTCAATTATTGATCGTCCGTTTCCACAGAGTGCAAGTAACATTACCCGATCTAGGGATTGAACTCACAATATATAACTCATCAAATTCACAAACCATTGTCTGTAGTAAACTTAGTCTTAAACTTAAACTTGACTCCTGATTAGGTTGCAACTGTTGCTGTAGGCTGTCATGTTTTTATTGCTGCAAATGGCCATGTTTTGATTCCTGTTGCTGCTACGGTTGAAGAATCGCTATTATTTATCTTTCTTTCATTATTAGGGGCTCTGATATTGTATTTATTTCTACGCTAGATCTACTAAGGGGGTCCTCATAGCTTAACATATGCGCTGATTCTTTCTCTCCAGTATTTACAAGTCTTTCAACAGGGGCTGATGACTTTTTTTATAATGTTTATTTTTGCTATTTATTCTATATAATCGATTATTATCTATTCTGTAAACCTTAATTTAAACACTTGTTTTAGCAGCAACAACAACAGTAGCACCAAGAATAATATCAATGATAATTGTTATACTTGACGATATTTAACCCGGCAGAATCAACGGCCACGTGTCTCTGACCAAGGGTGAGCCTTCATGTCACAGGACATCAGCTGTGGTCTGAATCGGAGTGGGATGGGCGTGGCCGGGTCTACTTTGCCCAAGATACACTACGCATGAATGTATACATATCGAGATGTGTGAGTGAGTTAATCGGAGTTCAGTTGCGCAGCGACTATCATTTAGTGCTAGTTCATTTTGCTTTCGATTTGTTCTATGAGTGTCAGATTTTCCAAGCCGCCTTTCCTTACTATGCGCCCCCAAAATCTCAGCTGTCTCTTTCTGGTTCTGGGTAGACATGTTCTTTTTGTTTCCGTTTTGCTTAAGACTTTACGCGCATCGTCCAAATATTCTCGTCATCTTTCTGTAGATTCATATTTCTGATGCTTCCCATCTGAAGCTCTAGGTGACCTCATTATTTCACGATGAGGAGGCACGGTGGAGTAATGGGTAGCCGATCGGATTGAGGAATCGGAGAGCCGAGTTCGAATTCAAGTCGAATACATAACATTCACTTACGTGGGAAAGGTATGATTCGTCTTCTTCTCCTCCACCTCCAGCTATGGGTAAACAGCACAACAGACCGAGTTCTATAGCCTTGGGTGGCAACTGGCCTAGGAGAAGGAAAACTCTGAATTCAAATTCTGATCCTGACGTGCACTAGGCTAACAACCTACTCACTTAAAATTGTCTTGCTATAGAAACCGCAATGATATCTAAAGGCATAATATACACATTATTTCACGAATGGATGAAACTAGTGTCTTTATCTTCGTTGTCATTATCACGAAGCCTTTTTGGATAGTCTAAATATTTCAGATGGCGTATTGACACTATTGCATAAATTATTGAAACTTAATATTTTCATTCATTCATTTTTTTTTATCAACGGCTTTCTAATATTCTCTGCAGACATGAAGTGGAATGATTATATTCAATCAATTGCTAGCAATCAATTATTGGTTCATTACGAAGTGCAAGACAATTTTTCTCTCCGGAACCTACATCAAATATTTATATGTCTACCATTCGCCCATGCTTTGAATATTGCTGCCGCATATGGTTCAGTGCCCCTGTTATATATTTAGAGGTTCTTGATAAAATCCAGAAAAGAATCCGCAATATTATTGGTTTTGACCTGGCATCTTGGCTTCAGTCAATTTCCCACCGCCGTAATGCAGCTTTCCTGTGCCTCTTCTATAAATACTTCAATGTCAATCCTTATCTTCTAGTTTCTTAATTTTGACTTTTTATTTTTCTTGCTACTTAATAATGTTTTTTCTTCCTCATATTCTCTCACACTTAGTAACTCCTTGTGTCTTAGTGGCTTTATTGCCTTAATTGGCGTAAATTCATAAAGCAAAAAATATATATACTTCGGGCCATTCAGGCCTTGTTTTATTTGAATTTCCGAGATGAGGTATTGGCATTATTTCCGATTTAAAAGCGAGATACAGAAATAAAAATATATTAAAAATAAACTCTACATGTTAAAAAAATGTTTAATCTCAGGAAAAATTATATTTTTTTTACTGATAGTCCACCGAATGCACAGGCCAAGCGCCACTCAAGGTAGAGGGTTACTAAATAAGATTGTAAGGGAGGAAGAAGTATGAATATCATGAGGATGAGTAGGATAGATATCGATTGATCCTGGATTTGAAGAGACCAAGAATGAAGCTGTCGGAGAAGCCCTCTCTCGGAAGTTTAGTAACAGTTCCAAGGAAGAGACTAACTGAGTGGAATAGCGTTTTATCAAAAGGACACAAAAAGAATGGGAATAGTTTACCATGGCTTACTGGGTTCTAGCTGTGATGGTCCGAACTGGTTGCACTAAGTAATGTAACTTGTCATTGGACTGATAAAGATAGAGCAATGGCAACAGAAATTAGGTAGTTTCTGGAACGATACAATGAAGCGACTCTTCTTCCAGCATCTTCTTTGTGAACAAATTCTATAATGTCTGTTTCGTAATGTTTCCTCTCCATTTTTTGTCTTTCAGTATCTACTGTGTGGCGAAGAGCTACCGCAGAGTTGGCGGTCGGCTGGGTTCGAACCTATCAAAAAGAAAATTCAAGAAACTAACGCCCTGATTTTCGTGTGCAAAAATGGAGGCACATCGAAGGAATTCCGGAAAAAATATCAAGTAAGCAGGAAAACTTGTGAAGAATAAATTGTCGCTGGTGATCATGGTTGATTACTTACGGGTCGCTTTTTATCCCCCATATTTCTCGATTAATCTTTTCCATGCATAATTAATTCAGCTGTGGTGATAATTTTCTCATTCTTAGCGTATGAAACTTTCTATATGCCAAATTTCACACTGCGGTAATAAATTTACATGAACTTATTTACTGAAATACTACAGATAAAATAATACATTTTTGTACGTTAGGGATACTTATTTAATGATAGCTGGCCACTCGTATTCAAGGACACCCGTCTACTAGGGCGGCTAGCCAATCCCTATAGCAGACTCTCGCTCAGGCATATTTGGGTTCAACATTCACAGAGCCAACCTGTGGTTTATATTGCAACTAGGCTGAGCAGACCTTAGTTACACTTTCTGGGAGAGAGCGTGTTATCTAGAATGATCAACAATCTGAACACCACCAGCACGGTTAAACCCTCGGTCACGATGACTTGTGACTTTGTGCTAGCATAGCCATCGATGGCCCTAAGTGTTCCGTCTACCCAATTTTACTCACAAGGCTTGGGTCAACCCTTGGTATGGTTTTCAAACACTTTCCAAAGGTGCCGCACGCTGAGATCGTTCAAGTGCCTATGTTTGTACGTATATGTGTGAGTGTATGTGTGTGTGTATGTATGTATGTGTGTGTGTGTACTGGGTGAATATAATTTACTTAGACAAGGATATATTGAAAGCGTCACAGTCCCTAATGATTTATATACGACCGGGCAATATCAGTTCATCGCCATCTAAATTAGTGCTGTTATAATGTTGGTTAAGTAAACATTGAGAGAAAAAGAAAAAACATCCAAAATAATTAAAAAACACTCACTAAATACCGTATATACTTGTGTACAATGCGAGATTTTATGATCAGCTTTTTACACAAAATATTATAGTGGTGTACTATACACCGGTAAATTTTTATTTATTTATTTGGGTTAAATTATTTTGCATGTTTTTATTTATTTTTTATTTTTATAACCCAAATAAATAAACAAATAAACGACTGCTGGCAAAATAATCGCCAAAACAGACTACCCACAATGCACCATAGACCCGTATATATAATTAGCCGAGAAAAAAAGACAACACTTGTGGCCTGACGATTGCGTCTAGCATGAAACAGCCTGTCGCCTCTAAGTGTTGACTTCAATGTTCACTTTTATATTTACACACGCTCTATCTCTGATATTGAGCACTTTATCCCATAAATATAGCACACCTTATTTCCTCATATATATATATATATATATATATATATATATATATATATTTATTTTTTCCTGAACCTTGAATGATATTTCTTGGCAATTTTTTTTTTCTTTTCGATTGCCCTTTCAGATGTTAATGAAACAAAAGAAATCCGATGCCAAAGTCCTGGCCATTGATTTCCCGGTGTTTCAAAATCAAATCGATTCATCTGGTCAAATGGATGGATCCTCTGGTCTGGTGGGCCTAAGTCCTGTTAATGTGAATGGAAAAAAGATGACTTTTGCTGAAGCTGTTCGCGCCGTTATTATGCACAGAAGGTGTTCTAAAATCAAAGCAGTCGCCTTTTTGTCACAATTGCCGAAGTAAGAGAATTTTTGAATCTCTTTACTCATAGTAAATCAGCGAAAGCGTAGTATTGCATTGTGTCTCTCTAAGATTTATGACAGTGCTGGAGGCTGATAGTAAGGGTATAACAGTTGGATTTTTAGTTAAAAGTTTATCTTAGTTTGTCACGATGCTACAAATTTTGGATACAACTTTAAAAAAAAGAATTCCTTGCATGAAAGTGTCTTATTGCATTGTGCAATGAGGTGGAACGAAGAAGCGGAATGAGTCTTTGGTCGAGGTAATTTGATGATAATGTATTATCAATCCGATGATCAAGACCTCTGATGAATGTGGGATTGGGTTGTCGACGTCACTTTGCGGTGGGGTTAATCACTTCTACACCGTAACAGGTTTGGCATTGATGGTGACAGATCTTTTCTTGATGGCCAAAACTTGAAAAGGGGAAAAAACGGTGTCTGAATCCTAACACTGCCCCTACAACCATGAAACTGGGTTTAAATTTTGTCTAGACGATTTGCTACGTTCTGAGTCAATGTATTCTTTCTCCTTTTTCGTTTTTTTAACTGGGGTTAAAACGTGTAAAAATAGGTTTTATTACCAGCAATGAACTTTGGAAGAAAAAAATACTGCCAGCAATACATTATTGAAAAAAAATATTACTAGCAATAAAAAATCTTGTCGGCATTAAATAACCCATTGAGGTGTTGATATGCCGTAAACCCAAACCAACCTGTTCCGTTTTTTCCGTTTTTTTTTTCTTTTTCTTTTACTTTTTCATATTTCTCTCTTCTTTCTTGATTCTTTAAAGTATAACATTTTTAAGCTACCTTTTCATTTTATTTCCTAGCCCTTGGAATTAACAAATCCTGCAACGTAATTCTTGTTGGGTGAAATAGCTATACAAATGGGGAATTTTTGAATTTCTCTTATTTGAAATATATATATATATATATATATATATATATATATATATATATGCATTAGATATCATGTCCTTTCAGTACGTATGTACGATTATAGCTCTCCACAAATCCATTTTCCTTCTTATATTCAGAGATAGATTGATTTTATTATTTTATTATATTATTTTTAGTATCATATATTATATTATTTATTATTATTTCATTTATATCTCATACCTATGTAGGAGGAGAAAAGATTTACTACCATATAGAAGGACCGATATTAAATAGCAATTCAGTACTCTTACCAAAATAAATAAAATAAATCAATAAATAATACAAGTTATCTCCCCTTAGTATAGAGAGCGAAATGAGAACAATCTTGTGTATTAAATAAAACGTCCAAGGCTGGTACCTGAAGAAATCGGATACATTGGTCGAAAAGTTGTCAGTATAACAAGCAAAATGAAGAGAGCAGTTTTTTTTTTTTGGTTACGTTTAAGATTTCAATTTTTATAACTTCGATTTACGAGAAACTAACATCAATGTTTAATTTTTTTTTTTTTAATTTTCAGGGTGAAGAAAGAAAAAAAACTAACAGATTTACATCTCTTTCTTGATTCACTTGTCAACATTTTACAGGTTCTTTGCAACTTACGAGACAAGGATCTCCGGACCAAGGTTACAAAATCTCCTTAATAATAATGATAATAATTAATAATAATGATAATAATTAATAATAATGATAATAATATGGAACAGAGTCCCAAATTATTGAGAAGACTAACTACAACTGTATGACGTTTTTTTCGTATTTAGTTGTTCTTACACTTGTATTATTTCGAATTATTGTGTATAGAATGTTATTACAGACACAACGTTTCGATCAAGTACTCTCTGGACATCTTCAGGTGTCTATTGTTTCAGGATAGTGGCATAGTGAATACAGGAGTTGGTTATGCATGCATTACAATCATCTTATACTCGTGAGTTCGATCCCCAGACCAGGTAATAAAGCATCCGTTCAGCAGGAATGAACAACAACTAACATATCAGGGGAAAGTTTACTTAATCTGATTTGAAGCAAATATTACTTTTCGTTTAAAATATCACAGAAAAGCATTTGTTAACACAGAGGTAGTTGTTTTGATTCGGTGTTAATAGATTGACAAACAGAATTTTATCTAAGTTTTTTCTACGGAGGACATATCTGTACAAATTATTTGAGGTATATAACGCGAGCGCCGTTTTTATATAATTTTTAATTACATAGTAATGTTTAAAATTTATGGAAATATTCCCCGTAATGTAATGTTTCATTGAATTTTAGGAGCTACGGATTTAAATTTACTATCGTTAACACTTGTATTTTCTGATAATATCGTGTGTCGCTGAATTATAGTAAGCTTTTCCATTTACGATTAGTAAATGTAGTTTTTACTTAATAACAATATCACCTAAAAATTAATACAGAATTTTAAAAGATTTGACACTTTATAAAATGTTACAACTGAGATTTTTTAAAAATGAAAAAAATTCTGATGAAAATTTATTACTCATCGAAAAAATATTTTTTAAGACAGTGTCCATAATATTTCTTTTTCATAAAAGTAATTAAAAGCTTTTCTAATTAAATAATGTCTTAGTTTCATTGCATTTTTTATTTTATGTTCGGAGCAGATTTTTTTAATTAGTAGTACTGTTTTACAATAACTGATGAAGATTTAAATTATCCAAGCAGTTCTACGTATAATTAATATGAATATTAAGCGATCCAAAAATGAATTTCTCGAAATTTCATGACATTAAATAACAGATGTAAAAAAAAAAAAAAAAAAAAATGTTTTATCAAGATTTTCTAAAAAAGAAAATTTCTAAAATAATTTAATTCATTTCTTAATAAGATCTGAAACTTTCATTAAAATTCGACAATGATTAAATTTTTGCAAGAATTTCCAAATCAATGTGTTTTCTGCACAAAAAAGATAATTTCTTTATTAATCTTTGATCTTCCGCTGACGCAAGTAAAATAATATTTTTAACCAAAATTTCGAACGCTCTGAAAAAGATAAAAAGTATAATTTAATAATAATAATAAAATTCTTTGGTCCTTCCTCTTAATAATAGCGTAAAGATTTTGACAGTAAAACTTCGTTTTTGTTAAGTTTGGAGCATTTTTTTCATCATATATGCTCAATTTTTAGAGAATTTATGGAAGTACACACACACACACACACACACACACACACACATACATATATATATATATATGTATATATATATATATATATATATATATATATATATATATATATATATATATATATATATAGAATAAAATATATAGATAATAACATTAAATGTTCATTTATCTTTTCATACTTTTGTTTCTACCCTTCAGTAGATTAGACTGCAAATTCCAGGAATATCCTGGTCCACCAATTTTTGGTAAAATACACTCTGTTTTGACTATATTTCTGAGATGAGGAATTGTAATTATTTATACTATTTACAATGTTCGTTACACATGGCCCAGTGGATAAAATCGTTGAATGGATCCAGTGATTATTGTGACTTCAATACATGGTTACCTCAGCGGTGAACAAAAAGTTGGAGAGTTGAATTAAAGGGAGATAACTGAGACACCCGAAAGAGTCATGGCACGTAGAACTAGGGCAATCTTCCCCGGTGGCCGAAATAAAGGCTTCAGTTCGAAATTCCAATCACCTGAAGAGGGCCGGGGCGTACAACGGCCAAAACGTCATGAATATGGTTACAAAGATGAGAACAACAATGTAAATTGTGTAAATATATATATATATATATATATATATATATATATATATATATATATATATATATATATATATATTATTATTATTATTATTATTATTATTACTTTAATCGTTATATTTTGTGTATAAACGTGTTTCATTTTCTTTAAACAGTGTAAATTTACATCTACTGGCTTGTTCCTTCGAGGGTCTTAATAAAGAAAATATGCCTTCGCGCCATGAATTATGGACCTAAATGATTACAGCTCTCCACAACTTTCTGTGTTTTCTTCTTTTAAATAACTTTTAACTCTTTCCCATCCCTCTCTTCTGTCATTGATTCACACCAACTCATTAAATAGTTTACATGCTGTTTTCCACTGCTTCTCTTGCCTTCAATATGTCCTGTAAGTGTTGAATTCTCTACGCATTCTTTCCTCATTCTTACATATATTTATTTTTCAGGTGGTTCTTTCAAGGGGGTCTCTTAAACAGCTAAGACAAGAGAGCGGACAATTAACTGAACCACCTACGTAAGTGGAAAATCAATCATACAATCAATATGTATGCAAACAAAAGTTTTTATAAGAAATAATAAATTATAATTATAAGCAATGTAGAGAGTCCAAGAACTATCAGCTTATTCAATTTAGCTGTCAGAACCTGCTTCCAAAGACTCAGCAGGCATCTACAGATTTTTCGGGCATTTTCTAGGAGAAGGAAACAATAACAAAAAACCTACGGTTCGAGAACTTGCGCCTATCGCCTCAACTAAATGGACCATGTCATGTAAACCCTTAGTTTAAAAAACGAGATCAGTCATCTGGATGCTGCATTTAAAATTTCAATAGAGCTGATTTCAAGGGTATCTTACACTTCAGGAATAGAATTGTTTGATGACATAATGTATGTAGGTAGAAGAAAAGTGTGTTTTTTTTTTTCATTTTTTAAAATGCATTTTAAACTTTAGGTATCGCGTTTCTTTGGAGGTACCTACATGCCATCATTACACCTTTTAGCAGATCGAAAACCAAACTGGATTGTGAAAAGTTGACTTATATAAAATAATGGGAGCCTTGTTAATACAAAGTTCATTAATACTTTAACTATAAGGATCCAACTGAGATATCCGTGTGTGTGTGTGTGTGTGTGTGTGTGTGTGCTGTCTTGAGAGTTGCCTTTTTGTTTTCATAGTACATTAATGCATGATAAACTCCATTTTTGGAGGGATGCATTTCTGATTCCAGACTACATAAAATCGAGAAACCTGTTATTGAATTCAGGGAGAAAATAAGCTACGTTCAAAAGTCCAATATCAACGACTAGTGATGCATTATTATTCCTTAGTTTGAATAGCTTTTTTAATTTCTTCATCAGTAGGTCCATTATTGTTTATATTTGGAAACGGATTTCTAATGATTGGATGTATATTTGTATATGTTCTGTCTCTGCAGTCATCTTTAGTATTATATGTATAATGGACTCGCCCGTTGATTCGACGTGTCTTTTTAGTTCATTTGTGTGTGTGTGTGTGTGTGTGTTCATACCTTAAATGGCATTTCAAATGGCGTTTCCAGCTACTGATTTACACATTAGGTCGCATTTAGTGGAGATGAGAGGATTTTGAATGGAGCAGGTTGGAAGATTTGATCGAATCTTGGTGTTCGACCTATGATCACTAAAACGAACCATACAAAAAATTAGTCGCAAAAAATCACATAAAAAATCAGCGAAAAGAATCACAGTGATGAAAACTTGGGAATCCAGAATTTCAGGATTTCAGATCCGGATCTGGCCCAGAATGTTTTTAATTTCCTCACGGAATCAGCCTAATTCCAAAATGGTATGATATGTTGGGCTACGGACTCTAAGAGTAAAGTGGAAAAAGTGTGACACAGTGACCCACTGACATTGTCATTTATTATATAGAAGGAGATGAGCTATTGAGAGTTGTGTCCCTTTAATTGAAAAAGTGCGACACAGTGATATTGGCATTTGATATATGGATTATTTAAGCTTACAAATGCATTTAACTTTATTTTAATACTAGCTTTTTATGTAAATTTTAATAACATGGATAGGATTTATTTATTTATTAAATAAATAAATAATTATTATAATATTGATTTATTTAATAAATGCTCAATTAGTCGGATTTGGGGAATTGAATAGTATATTTACACACAAAGACACACACACACACACACACACACACACACACACACATATATATATATATATATATATATATATATATATATATATATATATATATATTGTTCACCAGGTGCAACATCAGCGGGATTGAGTAATGCAATCTCAAGTCAAGTGAGCTGGAATGACTGAGGACCGCACACCCAAGGCACTGATATACAATCAGCGTCAGGATGGTGCATGTAATGTAGGCAGACCCCCACTCAGATACAAACTGAATTCCACTCTTAATATGTCTGTCAGCTTTTTACTTCTTTTGAAGCCCTAGCTGATGCCCGGGGGAAATGGAGGACATTTTACCATGAAATGAAAATAATTCTTTGTACGGAGAGTAAGGACCTACGCACATCAAATTGTCTTTAAATTAAGTAGCAGCAGAAGTATCGCTGAACTTTTAAACGATAAGCTTAAATATCAATGCAATAGTGAGAGGCAGCGATCAATTTTGAGTTTTTCTGCAGTTTATTGTTGCCTATCGTATTTACTCCTCCCTACCTAATGCGATGAAGGCCCAATCAAGAACCCTTATAGCGAATGAAAATTTTGTCATATTTGTTTAAAAATCATACCCATTATATACGTAAGCCTTCGAGAAAATGAATGTTTTGATGAATTTATTTAATAAATCCTACCGGTTATTTTTGCACTTCATTGAGAAGCTGTAAGTTTTCATGTATTTATTTAATAAATCTTACCCGTTATAGATGTCATTTTTAGAGAAAATGAATGTTTTGGTGGATTTATTTAATAAATCCTACTCGTAATAGGTGTAATCCTTAGATAAAATTACCCACATTCAGTGCCCGTAATAGAACCTTTAGTTTAAGATAGAGTATTTGCTTTTGGGGTGGAGGTGTTAGTGGGTTTCAGATGCTGAGTGTAAAGGGAAATACCTTTATTTTTTAAAATAAACCTATAGTACAAGACCAAAAATGTGGCGCGCTTACTAAGGATCAGCCTCATCAGATAATAATAATAGGAATAATAATAATAATAATAATAATCATCATCTAAAAGTCATCTTTCTCTCTCTCCCTTTATTTCTCAATGTGTCTATGAATCTATCTATCTATCTATCTATCTATCTATCTATCTATCTATCTATCTATCTGAACTTCTATTTATCTGGACTTTCACCGTCCTCTGATTTGATCTAAATCATTTTTCTTTCAGAACATTGTGTCGCAGAAAAAGTACTTTGGTGTTCGAAGGAAAGGAGAAGTAAGTTTTCATTATTTTTCTCATTCGTTCATATTTTTTACGATTGTTTTTTTTTTTTTTCTGTTGACATCTTCTTATTGATATTTGCATTATTTACATGCGGACTAATTTCCTCGTCTTTGTTGTTGCTATCACAACGTTTCGGCCGTTCGCGCATCAGGTTTTCTTCTAATTAGGCATATCTCGATCCGGGTAACATACAAGAAATTCCGAACTGAACCCTTTCTTTAACCTACGGTGGGTAGATTTTTCACGTTCTACAACCCATGTCTATGGCTATCTCGTCTAGTTCTTATTTAATAATGCTCAGTTATTGCTCGTGTAACCCTTTATCGTTGACACATCAAACAACACCTATCACACTCTCAACTCACACACCATACTCTCCCGTCTCCGAGCTCTGTCTCTTCTTCTTCAGTGACTAGTTTCTTGCTCTTCTAGTTTTGTTGAGTGTGTCGTCTTGATAGGGTTGGTTCGGATTTTCCAAAAACCTACGGTATTGGTATTGACGGCGAAGTCTAGTGTGAACGCCTCTATGCACGTTATGTACCACAGACACAATTGCGGAATTCTTGCTCTTGGCCGTGGTGAACTTTTGTCTTTTTATGTCCGAGGGCAACTTCTGAATTAGGTTGGAATAAGAACTCCTTTAATAAAATTCTTCTGTCGCGGACGTGTCTGTGTTTTAGCTCCGGCTAGGGATTTGCGGGCGTGCTCTTTAGCAACGATTGTCTTACGACCGATCCCTGCGCCCTCCGAAATGACTTCCCCTTCAAAATTTGATATTTATATATATAATTTCTCCACCAGACTGTCTTACACTTAAGAGACCTTGTTAAAAAATATGGTACTTCATGCGTTTGTTTAAAATCTTTCTAGGTAGCTTTCTGTAAAGATAATTGTGTTCTTGGGTGATCAACATAAACAAACCTCAACACAAGACAGATGCTTAGTTCTTTGTCCATAAGAATATGTAAGAACACGCACATTCTGCACATGTGTAATGTAAGCAAACTTCCGAATTTTAATTTCTCAGGACCTAAGAAAATCAGACAACACATGAATTATTTCTTATCGTCAGGAAGTGAATAAGTTTGGGAATGTTGGTTTTGTTCAATTTCGCTGAATCTTGACTAGTTAATTCTGGGTTGGATTCTCCTTGGAACTGTTCTTAGTTTCATTTTGTTATTTTAAAACATAAATTTTAATGCGTTTCGTTTTTAATTTTCTTCTCAATCATTCAACTTACTCTCCTGAGAATTTTAACAATTATCATCCAGTTAGTATTCCCTCCAAACTACCATCCTGTAATTTCCTGCATTTAAATGTATAACCAGGGCCATCACCCTGCTGCATTATGTCAAAAGCTGTTTTTAAATGAAGTAAATGGATGTTTTGTTTACAATATACTAAGTTCTCAAAAACCCAAGGAATTTAGACAACACATTAATCATCTTTTACTTTACAGAAGTGGATAAGTTTGTGAATGTTGGCTTTGCTCAATTTCGCTGAATCTTGACTGGGTTGGATTCTCCTTGGAACTATTATTAATTTCATTTTGTTATTTTAAAACATAAATTTTAATGCGTTTCATTTTTAATTTTCTTCTCAATCATTCAACTTACTCTCCTGAGAATTTTAACAATTGTCATCCAGTTAGTAGTCACTCCAAAGCACCTTTTTGTAATTTCATGCAAATAAATCTATAAACAGGGTCAGTACTCTGTTACACTTGTCCTACGGGACAGTTGATTAAAGCGTTGGTTAGTGAATTTGCCGACATAGTAATTGTGAGTTCGATCCCTGGATCAGGCAATGTGTACTTAGATTCAGTGGAAAGGGGATGAGTTATAGCTGAGGAGTACCGAAAAAAAAGAATTATGCCTTGACATAAGGAGTGAGAACAGTCTATTTCTGTAGATTAAATAAAGGGTTCAGTTCGAGATTTCCTGCAGTTTACCCGGGGGATGTACGGAGGGCACAATGGTCGAAACGCTGTGATAACAACAACAAAGATGAGGATAATCATCTGCATCTAAATGAAGATAACTCCTAATTCCATAAAATTCAGAAAGAAAGTTTCTTATTGATTTAAAAATATCAAAAATGAATTTAATCATGATAATATTTTTTTATTTACAATAATTACAATCGGACTAAAGTCATCTCATTTGCTGTTGTTAAATCGGAAAGGAAAACTCATCATAAAAATAGCCATGAAAATATTTATAGAAAAGGTAAATGAAGCTACGTTATACCAGATCAGGACCTATAACATTGCAGATTCTTTGGATTTGGCAAGAATCCCTATACGCATAACAGAAGCATTACACCAAGTGTGGCAACAACATTCAGTGCCCGGACCAATAGCAAGCTTATAAATGTGCAAGATGGATTCTGGCAAGATCATTTGTCTAACACAGGGTTTCTCAACCTTTTTATTTCAGGGCGCACTTTTAGAATACCAAAAAAAAAAAAAAAACTCTGGGGAGCATTGTAAATTTTAAGGAAAAATTAGCCATGAAATTTGAAAATATTAAATTTTAGTTTAGCCTTCCCAGAGAAGATTAACAGTAGTTTTCAGTTAAATGGATTTATAAAGAATCTGCTATTTTTTTTGAAGAGATGCCGATAATGACTGATTTAAATCCCTTGAGGAAGACAAAAGAAAAAGGATTATCCACTGAATTTAGCATCCACTTTAATATGTCAAATGACAAAGTCTTCATTTTGACATGGAAGCCATACGCTTTCTGTCTCTAGCTTTTTAGGAAGAAATTTTTTTTTTAAATTTAAAAATAATTCATAAATTACTTTTCCGTTAATTTTGGGCGCATACCTGGTTACCTTTCAGTGCGCATTTGTACGCTTGGGTGCATAGGTTGAGAGATGCTGGTCTAAAAGGACACAGTGAAGCAACTTTCCTAGAATTAGTCTTGTCAAGTGACTAAATCTAATCGTTCCAATTCACATCAGTGGAAAACATTAGAGAGAGAAGATGCAATGAGTTACTCTTCTGGGGGTTAGCATCAGCCATGCAGTATGATGGAAAGAGAAAAAAAATTTCTACGACGATTAAAAGAGAACAGTTTAGTTTTGGAGGCGTTAAAATTAAGTCATTTTTTGCCCCAACTAACAACAGATTAGAGGTCATTTTTAATATCAGAGGTCAATTTGAGTTTATCAAAACTATCTGACTTACATTCAGTCAGGAGAAATTAGTTGAAATTAGAGAAAGTTGTAAATAGTTGAGATGAGAGAAGAAAATTTCATGAAATGTACTTTCTCAAATTGATAATAAAATTCCTTATTGTTGAAACTTGACTAATGCATGGAATAATAATGCAACACAAAATGTACTTAGAACAAAATGTATTGAAACAAGAAAGTGTACACAATATTTACATATAGTCTTTTGTATATTCTTGGGAAGACCGTTCCTGGAGAATGTGTTGACTTAGTCGCAGTCGGGCAGAGTCTCTGGATTGAATCTCTTGATTCCTCCCTCTCTTCCCGGTACCAACCATATTTATATGGTCGGTACTCCACTATGCAAATTAGGTGAATCCTACCACAACACTTATCAACTTGAATGTAACTTTTTTTTTTCACAAATTGATTCTAAATTATTTTCTCAAATTGAATTCTCGGATTGAATCTAAGATAATTTCTCAAATTGAATGTATATTCTCAAAGTTAATTTCAACGACATTCTCAAATCGAATCTTAATGACATTAAATTGAAGCCAATGTCTTTCTCAAGTTGAAACTCGAGTACTTTTTTACTTACGGACATATCACGTTGAGACACTGGTACACATTCGTTCATTGAAATTGAGCCTGGTCAGTAATTTGATATTTAAAAATGGATGCTAAAGTGCTTAATCTTTAAGGGGTGGATAATCCTTTCCCTTTTTCCTTATAACGGCTATTCCTTATCAGTTATTGCCGTTCTTCCTGAAAAGAAATAAAAAAATTTTCATAAATCTTTTTAAATGAAAACTTTAATGCTAATCTTTGGCGATGCGAAGCCAAACTTTCATATTTTCACATTTCATGACTACTTTTTCCTTATTAAAATTTAAAGTGCGCTCCAGACTTTTAACAGTGAAGCCCAGTAAAAAGTAAGGGGAGATAATTCTCGCTTAACTCTTTACTTAGACATTATCACTGAAGAACTTCTTACACACACACGCGCACATCACACCTAAGGACAGAGAAACACACACGATGCATCTAAAACGAAGCTGCTCTCTAGCAATCATTTTAGAAAACTTCCATCAGTATGGCTGATGCTAACCTCTAGGAGAGCAACTCACTGCACCTCCTTGGTTTCACGTTATCCACTGACATGAAATGAAATGATAATATTTAATCATTTGCTAGGTCTACTGCTAGGAGAGTTGGTTCACTATGTCATGGTAGACAATTTTTCTCACCAGAACCTCTCTTGCATATTTATAAGTCTACCATTCGTCTGTGTATCGAATATTGCTGCCACATCTGGTTTGGTTCTCTTTTATATCTAGAGATTCTTGCCAAACCATTATGACCTGACATCGCGACTTCAGTCACTTGTCCACCGTTGGAAGGAAGTTTCTCTGTGACTCTTCTGTAAATATTTTCAAGACATTTCTTTTGGTGAGCTTTCCTCTTTGGTACCTTGACTTCGTGAATTTAAGCTCTGTACTAGATTGGTAGCTAGGTCTCGTAATTTCATTGATGAAATTGCTAGTTGCAACCGTAAGTTCTATGCTAACAGTTTCTTTAGCGCTTCTTGCTTGTTGAACTCTCTTCCAGCTTCCTGTTAACTACGATTTTCAAAAATTTAAATGAAATCTCAATCACCAGCCTTTGTCTTTTTTTTTTTTTTTAAATGATGTTTTTATGCCGTCTTCTGTTTCTTTTCACTCTCGTCCCTTGCATCCTAGGCGCTTTTAATACCTTGCTCGGGGTAAAGTATTGAAAACAATCAAGAACAACAAAAAAAAAAAAACACTCTGCACATATATCCAAACACACACACACACACACACACACACACAAACATATCCCCCACATACGCATACAAGCACACACAGACTTCAACTGTCGATGCAAGTAGTGTTGAGTAGCTATTCAGACACATTAATTTGATGCATATATTTTATTGGGAGATAAGGTGATTTTTAATTCTTTTTATTACATTAAAAAGCAAAATAAAATTATTTTTTAATTGTATTACTACATTAAAAAGTAACACATTTCTCCAGTTCAGTTTGTCATTGATTCCGTAAAAACTACAAAAACGAATTTTTAGTCAGCTTCAATAAGAACTAGCGCATTCCAAACAATTAAAACAACTTTATAAAAGACAATTTTGGTTGTCTTGATTCCAATAAAAACCAGCATTTTTTCTATCTTTTCATATGCTTTATTTTTGTGTTTTAAAAACATGAATGATTCGTAAATTTTATTTAGTTATAAAAAGTAATTTTAATTGTGCTTCTATCTATTAGTATGAATTAAAAAATAGTTTATATTTCTAACCCATTCACAATGTGTCTGTCCCCTGAATATTTATGTTGAAAATTTTTCCAAACCTGTACATAATGACTAGAAGACTTTCATAAAAATATAAAATAAAGGAAAATTTTGAAAAAAACAACGCAGATTCGAAAACAATTTCAGTAAACAACAGATTCACGTTTAAAGCTTTATTTAGCTTAACATTCTGTGCTGAGTTACGTATATAGTTCTACTAAGGGGAGGTAATCGCTTCTGTTTCGTTTACTTAATTACTACACTTTATTGATAAAGACATTTTTCCTTTTAGTAATGAAGATGACACCGATTCAATGAAATCATGGGATGACCTGGTCAGTTTCAAGTCGAAAATGTGTATGGACGAGGGCGCTCATCAAGCATCCAGGTAAATAGCCCCGAAATCTTAGCGAAATGGGCACAAGTCAACACTTCGTCTCCAGAAATTTATTTGAATTCTAATATCAATTATGTTTGGTGTAAGATTATTGTCACTTTATCCTACATTTTTTGGCCGAATGTCCCTTGACACTCAAAGTAAGTAAAATAAAGACGCGACAAAGGACCAGCTTCCAATGTCACTTGAAATTGCATTCATCTTACATCGACGACGTCTTAATTCAATCACGGAGACATCATGATTAAATAAGTCTAAACCTGCTGCCATATTACTATTTTTTTCTTCTTCATCGATTCTTTATGCCGTACTGTTTGTTTGCTAACTTTATTGAAGAACTGAAGTAATGAAGAAAAAACAAACAACAAAAAAACTTCTCTTCTTGCTACTACTACTACTAGTAGCAGCAGGAAGAGGAGTGTTTTTTTTTCATTGCTTCAATTCTTCCATAAAGAACCTGTTTAATCTAGACACCTTGAAATCTAGCCATTCCCAATTCACATAAAAAGGCAGAAAGAGAAATTTAGTATTGTAAGCACCTATGTAAGTATCTGAATGTTTGCACCTTTGTAATGAAAACTGAGTCTAGTTCAATTTATGTGACTTTATTGAACGTAACTTAAGAGTCTTTCCTTTTTTGACTAAGCGTGACTTATTTATACAAATCATAAAACAGGGGAGGTAATCGAGCTGTCTTACCACATTCTCCCCGGTTTTGTTTTCTCCTAGTCCAACACAAAATCATCCAGGTGACTGGATTTCTTGACAATTCTCTGGGATCGTCTCGGTGGCAGCTGATTTGAGCTTTCAGGTGTTACGGAAACAGTCGGCTAGAAAAATGTTGTCTCATTGTTTTTATCTCCTTCTTGGAGTGCGGCGCTCTGATTCTGAAAGCTGATTATCAGAATCTGTGGTAGTATACACTCGTTTTGAGGGTGTTGTTCAGGTGTCGATCTCTGAATCGTCAATGTCGAGAATCCAATGCCATTGTGTCGTCGTGCCTATCAAGAGGGAGAGATATTGCTTCAGGGAGGAGCTGCTCCTCCCTTTTGTTAGATAACACGTCGGTAGGGGCCAAATCTCTGAGTGAAACAATCGATTGTCTCCCGTCGGAGTGCAGGGTGCGCGCATAGAGTGGGTTCGCCTCGAGCAGTTCCACATTACTCACAGGAAAATCATACTAATCATACTTGCTTTGACGAACAGGGTTTTTACTTAAAACGGGACCTGGCCGTGAGAGCCACGAAGGTAGGGAGATACCGGCTGAACTTCATCTTGGAAATTTCGTGAGGTGTTGCATTAGTTCTTGTACACAATAGTGTTCGTATAGCGTACAGAGCCTTGATTATTACGTCTTCCCAATGTCTAATTGTAAGGTTTTGGTTTTCAAATGCTAACTGTGCGGTCTTCTATGTTATGCCAATGTATCTCACGCACTGTCCATTCCCTTGAGGATTGTATGGGGTAGTCCGGTTTACGGCCAATCCCTATATTGTCCCGCGATCTGTATGAATACAAGCCGGGGCCTTGAATATTGAGACCAGTGAGCAAAGACAGCGAATGACTGTTGTGCACTTACATCTAAGACAGGGAAAGGAAATCGCGTGTACTTGTTAACAATAGTTAGTCGGTATTTATTTCGGGATTTAGATGGAACAGAGCCCATAATGTCCACACTCAGATATATAGATAGATGTGTAGCTTTTAGTCGGGTTCTCGGTTTGTATTTGTAGAACCATGATTTTATTCGAGCGCAAATCTGACAACCTTTTGTTATTCGTTTCCCGTTCTCAACTGAAAAAGGCAAATTCTAACTTCGAACCATATGCATCATCCTCATGATGCCTGCATGACAGAGATCGTTATGAACTTTTTGTAGATCTTTGCCGCTCTTTATTGATCCACACACATTTGACAGCCATTGCATTTTCTTTTCCCTACCGTCAAACGAAAAAAACAAAACATGAAACCTGTACCCTCCATCTCGCTATCTTTTCATTTTTTTTTTTGCTTGACGTCTTGGTATTAAACATAAAAGAGATGAACTTTTGATAAGTGATTAATTTAAAGCAGTTACCAATTAAGAATCGTCGCCATTTTTTAGTGTCTCGACTATGGCATATGCCTCCTTTTCAACAGTTGAATGTCTGTTCTCAGATTTTGACAATGTTCTGGAGAAGAATGCTAGAGGGCTTACGGATTATCTTAACGCGGCAGCTATGGCATGGTTGGAAGCGTCGGCCTCTAATTCTAGTGCAATGTCCGCATTTACCGAAGTAATGACTGAGTTGGCAATATTTCTTTTTAACTTCTCAAATGCTTTAAACTAAAGGAAATTTCGTAATTTTCATAAGTGGGGTATTTTTTCAGAAAAGGAGGTTATTGAAAATAATGAGCGAACATACCCATGATTCGTCACAAGACGGTTATGGTGTTGGGAATAGGTAGTGTTAGCCGTTCATGGTCGGGCTTCATGATTCCTTTATCCACAATCCAAGTAATCTGATGGTTGTCGATCCATAAGCACTCTTGATTGAGTGTAAGATTATATTTCTCGACAGCCGCTAAAAAACCGTTTTTAGGTTGCGATTGTGGTCGGCCCAGTCATGGCCACACTATCACATGTAGGCAAGGGTGCCTTGTAGTTTTTCATCAATAATTATTTTATCGAGGCCCCTCTGAAAACTGGAAACCCCATTAGTGACGCCAAGCGGAATCCGTTGGAACTGATAAAGTCATCCGCAGGATTCAAAAGCCATATAAGGCTTATCTTTAGGATCTATGACTACTTGGTGGTAAGCACTCCATAGACTAATGTGCTAAATATTCTGTATTTGGCGATCTCGTGTATGTTCACTTATTTTGTTTTCACTCTGAGTTTAGCTGAGATTACGTCCACTCATCAGGAGACTTGATTGTAAAAGAGATTTAAAAATGTTATCTTTCAGAAATATTTTGGTCGACTTTTTATATATATATATATATATATTTATAGATAAGAGTCATTGATAGATATTGAAGAATATGAGCTAAATCGACAGAAAAATACGATCAAAGATAAGTCGCTATAGAATAGAGTTAGCGAGCCTAAGAGAAATTCCGACTGCTTTAATATCTTCCATTAAAATTTCTTTCAGAAAACTTCCACCCTGGCAGCTTGTCGCCATGGAAGCGACAGACAGCAACAAGTAAGACATATTCATTTATTTCAGTTACTATCTAACTACCAGAATCTTTTAGGCTTACAGCCTTATCACATTGAAACAATGGCTCTCATGCAATCACCGAAGTTAAGCAACGCCGAGCCTGGTCAGTACCTAGATTGATGACCACTTGGGAATACCAGGTGCTATAAGCTTGGATGTGCAGATGGTGTAAAGGATAATGGCTCGGAATTGGAAATCAGAGAACTTAGTTCCAATTCAAGTCGGGTTCATTATATTCACTTATGCACAAATACCTTTGGGAAAGGTATGACTCCACCACTTGTCCCCTAACTACGGGTTAATTAGTAAGACTTGTATAGTAAATTATTATTATCTCTAAAAAATCTTCTTTTGGCTTTAAATAACAAGCAAAGGTTTATAAGCCTTAAGAATGAATCAATCAGTTTACAATCATGAATTATTTTTTAAGAACTTTTAAAATTAAATTTATTCTCCTTCTTCATGTCTTTTTAATAATAATAATAATAGTGATAAAAATATAAAAAATTTTGTTTATCGCTGTTACTTTTTTCTTTCCGTTTTTTAATGTCATATTAATTTAGGATCATGGCTCTCCATGGGTTCCTTATCGTTATGATCTTTGACTGACAATTTGTTTTCGGGAAAGATAGTAATATCGTTTCACGTTGGCTTCTCCATGGCTTGGAATACACAAGTCTTCTTCTTTTACTGATTGCCACTCAAGGCTAGAGAGCTCAGTCTACACTGCTATTTAACTCATATCTAATAAAAGAAGAAACGGATTCATGTCATACCCACATGAACTCAAAGACTTGATCGGGATTCGAACTCTACTCACCGATTTTATCTTCCGCGCCGATATCTGTACACTACCAACTCGTTGCGCTATTTAGTAAAATAACACAGGAGAAAAAAAATCCATGTCCGTGTGTAAATTCTGCTTTCTGAACAAGAACACCTGACATAGCCAAAGGGCTAGCTGAAATTAACTTGAAAAATAAGAATTTAAGATTATTTTAAGTTTTTTTTCTTTTTTTTATTGGAATTAGTCACTCTAATAAAAATCCAAACAAAATATTAAGTTAATAAATTCTTGTTTTTGAAAATCCTGGATCTGACGAGAAACTACATCCGGCAGCAAGGCCTCTGATCAAGAAACTGAAGGTTTTGAGGAGCGTGGAACCACCTCTTAATTACTGTTGTTTCCAGGTCCATCCTGACCTCAGGTGATCGCACCTGTTAGGGTCACAGATGTCTGGGAAGCGTATTAACAGCGGGCCGCAATTGTGACACCGAAATCCGAAGGCGTATTTGGATAACGAAAGATGCCTTCCAGAAGATGAGCAAAGTATTAAGAAACAGAACAAAATCGTTGGAAACAAAGAAATTAGTACTGAAATGTTATGTAATATCAGTCCTCCGATATGGTAGTTAATGTTAGAAAATTTCCTCACAGATGACAAAGAGACATGAGACAAAAGAAATCTGGTTCTACAGAAGGATGCTGAGGATACCATGGACCGGACACGTGAAAAATTGTCAGTTTTCTGCGTATCTCTGTTTCTTTTCTCTTTTCCAACTTATCTCTTTTTATTCATATCGTGTTTTTCATATCGCTCTTTCATTTTCTGTTTACTCCAATCCTTTTTTATTTCCTTCCTTCCTTCCTTCCTTCCTTCCTTCCTATCTTTTTTTTTTATCTCCCGCCCTTGACTTCTGGCTATCCCTCATTTTTCCATTTACCGTTGTATTTCTTCCTCCCTCCCTTCCTTTCTATCTTTCTTTCTTTCGTTCTTTCTTTTTTTCTTTCTTTCTTTCTTTTTTTCTTTCTTTCTTTCTTCTTATTATCTCTTGATGTTTTCCATCCTCTTTTTTTTTTTATAGAAATTGGTCTCGAGTCGGCCGACGTGCTGCCGAAGTAGATTGTAATATTAATGTCGTTGTGCGTATAACTAACGCTTGGAATTTGGTACGGGCCAGACAAGCTTATGAGTCCAAACATATGGTCAGGAATATTGAAAGGTGGGCAAAACTTTTCATTTCTATTTTCTTATTTAACCTCACTCTGCCGTCTTTTGTCTTCATATATCGATATTCAATTTTACCATACAAGGAACCACTAAATATTGGCGATATTTTCTATATCCATCAACTTAACAAATTATTTCCTGCTTTTAAATTCTGCTTCCAATTGCACGCTTTTTTTCTCTCCAGTTCATATAATTTGATGTTTGATTACCAAGTCGTTTACCTGCGTTCTGGGACAAAGGAAGATTTTCTTTAGACATTTATTGAACCTATTAGATTGGGAAAGATTCTCTGGCTACGTAAACCGTGCTCACGAGCCTAATCTACTTTTTTTTATTTCAGATAATGAGGCGTTTCCTCGGATTTTCTTAATGCATGTCTTCGTCATCTGTGTATTTTTTTCAATAATGTCTTTATCATTATTCTTTTTTAATCATTCCTACTTAACATCAGGCTTACGATCATATTACCTTGAAAGGTTTGGTATTCGTCTGATCACTGGAATTAAGCAACACCGAACCTGGTCAGTACCTATGCGGGTGACCGGTTGGTAATACGAGGTGCTGTAAACTTGGATGTGCAGGTGGTGTAATGTATAACGTCTCTGAATAAGAAATCAGAGAACCAAGTTCCAGTTCCAGTTGGGTTCGTTACATTCACTTCCGCGCAAATATTGTTGAGAAAGGTATGAATTCACGTTTCCCCCCAAGCTATGGGTTAATCAGTAGGAGTTGTATCAGTTAATATCTATTAGTATTTTTTTTACTATAAATAACCTGCAAAAAGTTCATAAACCGTAAATAACAAATCAATCAATATTTTACATCAGAAAGAGAGAGTTGAAGTTTCTAGATCACATAATGAGAAAAGAGTGCTGGAAAATTTGATACTCACAGGACTGATTGAAGGCAAGAGGGGCTGAGGAAAACAAAGCATAGCCTTCTTAGTGAGCTTCAGTAAATGGATGACAACATTTATTAAAAACTACAAAGGGCAGGAAATTGTGGAGAGCCATGGTCGTCAACATATTTAAGGGACACAACACACGGAAGAAGAAGAAAATAAAGAAGTGCTCCTATTGCAATTGTGGTTGTATTTTAATACAATCTTCTTGCAATTTAACTTATTATTATTATTATTATTTCATTGCATTTCTGTTGTATACACATTTCCTTCTGTGTCCCAACTAGAGATCTAATGTCAGAAATGGCTGCATGACATTTTCACTGAACGTTTAGAAAAGTAAAATAAAATAAAATACGTAAGATCAGATACATTTTATATTGATAAAGCCCTTCGTAAGATATGAGCTGAGCTTATAAGAACAGTTTATTTTTTATTTCTTTAAGGCATGGACCACCAGGGGTCCCTTCAATTTAATCCATCAGAACCTCTTTACAGTCAGATCGAGGGCTCCAACCAAAACTGGAATTATTGATGGTTTCATGCGCCCCATTCTTCAGATTTCCACTTCAAGATCCTTGTATTTTGATAATTTTTTAAGATCTTCAAAGATACACTACATTCTACGGGAACTTCCATGTCAATAAGAAGGCACGTTCTGTTTTTGATCATTTTTGTTAAACAAAAAAACAAAAAAAAAACAAAAAAAAAACTAAGATCAAACACATTTTACATAGATCTTCGTAATGTGTGTGCTATAATTGCGAGTACAACATTTTGTATTTCTTTAAGGTACGGGCTACCAGTAATATCTTCAATGAATCTATCTGAACATTTTCCAATCAATCCTAGGACTCCAACTTATAATTATCATTATTTTTGCTTTTTGCTTAGTACAATCACTTACCGGATTATTACGTGAGATCTTGGGAAAGACAAGGTATAAATATATGCCTTCTGTTTGCACAACTTCTGATGTTAAGTAATGCTTAACATTTACAGTGTTTCTATATATTTTTTAAACTGATGATACTTCCCTGGGTAGATGAACAGTTCCACATGGAGGAATGTTTTAGAATCTCTTTCGAACAAGCATCAAGATGTTATTAATATTCTTCTCTGTACCCTTTTTGATCGTACCCAGGCCTCCAGTTATAAAAGTTTGAAGGTTCCACATTTTCTTTTCAATTTTAACATCTTTATATTTATTTTTGCCATATCCTTTAACAATTTTATCTGATGGCGATGCTATATTTATCAGAAGGAATAGTCTTTGTTTGTATTCCTTTTATCACAGTGTTTGGTCTATAAACTTTTATATGTCCATCTGCTTTCTATGAGTGTTTCAAAGTACAGTTATGACCCCGCTTACGTCGTTTCGAGTTAAATCGTTCTCGATTATACGTCGTTTGTCAAATATATATATATATATATATATATGGAAAAATAAAAATCAAGTTATTTTATTTGACTTTATGTCTGTCCGCCACAAATATTGAAGTCGTAATATCATTAGAAAAGCATTAAAAGCACATAAAATCATGTTACTGTACAATAAATAAGAATAAAACTATATAAAATCATATTAAAATATGTACATTTACAGTAAAAGCTAATATAATCATCATAAATCTTAGTGAACGAAATATGAAAACATCTGTGACTCTGTATTGTCGTCTTATTTAGCGGTCTTTAAGAGCTCAATATTGGCGTTATCGATGTAGAGTAAACCACATTCACGAATAAAGAGTCCGAGATGTACTGTAAAGATCGCTAAATTGTGAACGTTTATATTTACAAGTGGTACGTACATGTATTCGTCAATTTAGATTACCTTTTTTTCTATATTATATTAAAATTTATTTGTTTGTAAGCTTAAAATAGATTCATATTGACCATATATTATTAAAAATGCATTTATAAATAAAATATAGAACTGGGAAAAGTTATTTGTGGTTTAGCCTAGTGACAAGTAAATTCGGAGACAATAAATTCATCTTAAGTCGTTTTTCGACTTAGGTCGCCTCTCCTGGAACAAATTACCGACGTAAGATGAGATATACCTGTAATGTTCATATCATTTTTTGTTTTGCATTTGGTGTACTCTATAGTGATTTTTAAGCGTAGGTTAGACGCGGCGCAAGGCGGAAAGTATGATCTATCCAGTGAGGATCGAACTCGCTACTCAGTTGTAATTGATCTAGTGAAACAAGCTTGCTATTACACCAAATCAAAATGCTCCATGTAACGCATGAATGATTGATTGATTGGGTTTTTACAGCTTATCAACCCTTTTCAGGTTATTTAAAGACAGAAAATATTTTTCGATTGCAAGATTTTTTTGGAGATATAGATGGTTTATTGATACAAGTACTACTTAATAACCTATAGCTGGGGGAGAAAAGGTGGATTTACACCTTACCCATAGGTTTTTGAGCGTAAGTGAATATAAGGAAGCCAACGGGAATTGGTACTCGGCTCTCCGATTAACAATTCCGAGCCATTATCCATTACACCATCCACACATCCAAGCTTACAGCACCTGTTACCCCAAGTGGGCACACATCTAGATACTGACCAGGTTCGAAGTTGCTTAACTTCGCTGATCGTACGGGAACTGGTGTTTCAACGTGATATGGCCGTAAGCCCCGTTTACTGTAATACTGGCATATCTTCCATCATTCTTCTTCTTATTGAATTAGAGAGCTGCATACTATAAAATGCCATTTCTGAATTTAATGTGTCGGTGAAGGGACGATATTTGCTTCACCACTCACCCCAGGTTAAGTTGTTACTCTTAGTATTATCCATAAGGCTATTGCAATTTTATATTTCGTCACTCTGTATACTCTTATCTTACATTAAATGTGTTATAAATGGTAGCACGAGAGAACAAACAAAACAGTAATTACCGCCAGTGAGGTGAAAGGAAAAGAAGACAAGAATTGTTAATATAAAATTCTTTGTATTGTCGCTACAAAGGATGTGAGTAGAAAGTCTCTTTGTGGGTAAGGGAAGCGATTTGGAGGAAGGATAGAAGATAAGAGTTGATGCGTCTGTCGGTCGGATATGCATTATATATTGGTGTATGTACTTTTAAGTTACAATTATTACTCCGTGTTATTACACACCATGTCACAGAGAGAAGTTGGACACGTGTTGCCCGTACCAAGGTTCGTGGTGAAGAGATTTAATTTAACGTATTTTGGCAGGATGTTCGCATTTCCGGTAGCAACAGTTTTTATTGCATGCTGCGAAAGTTTTTATTATTTTAAATTTTTATTTAATTTATTTTATACAACGTTTTTATGTTATTGTTTTATTTTATTTATAATTTTCATTCTTCTTCTTAATATTATTATTTTATATTTTATTTTTATTTATTTATTTATAATAATAATAATAATAATAATAATAATCCTAGAATAGTTTTACATATTAGGGTGTTCGAAATATTATTACCTTTTATCAGAAGGGATTAAAAAAATATATCAAAGTTAAAGTTTTTTGAATATTATTGATAAAAAATGTTATGACGTTCATTTTCCATGACTGCAGCCCAACGAGAGGCTCATTTTTTTTGATTCCACATTTAAGGAAATTTGAGTTTACTTTTTCACCGCAAAATTTTTGAAAGACTCTTTTCAACGTATTTATTTCTGAGTGGTTCTGTCACCACCATCCTAACGTTTTCAACTTTACTTGAGTTTGTTTTCCATTATCATTTTCGAGAATAACATATTTTAATCCTCATAGAGGACTTCTTTCTGCCTTCTATCAGCATGGCTGATGCTAACCTCCAGTAGAGCAACCCATTTCGCCAAGAATCTCACATTTTTCACTGATGGAGGATTATATTGAATCAACTGCTACGTCTGCTGCTAGGAAAGTTGGTTCACTGTGCCAGACAATCTTCTTTTTCGCCAGAATGTCTTGCACATTTATTAATTTAATATCCGTCATATTGCTGTCATATCTGGTCTGGTGCTCTTGATCTATATCTCAAAATTCTTTACAAAATTCGAAAAATGGTCTGTAATATAATAGATCCTGACCTGGCATCTCGACTTCAGTCACTTTCCTGACACCTTGAATTGGTTTACCTCTGTTTTTTTTTTCTATAAATGTTTTCATGTTTAATGAGCTTTTCTCCTTGGTACCTTGACCAAATGAATTTTAAGCGGCCTACTAGATTAGCAATTAGGTCTCATTGTTTTACTGTTGAAGTAGCTAGATATTATATTCTAATAGTTTTTTTTTTCTCTCCCTTCTCACCTGTGGAACTCTCTTCCGGTTTTCTCACCTGCTACTTACGATCTACAAAAATTTAAGTATTTACGCCAATCGCCATTTTCTGTCTTCTTGAAACTTGTGTTTTTATTGTCCTTTTTCTTCGCTAAAGTCTTCTCATTTTCTTTCCCTGTTTGGAGAGAAATGATAAAAAAACCCTCTTCTGTTTTTGTATTCAGTACACTTTCTGCGTAATGTTTTCTTAACCCGATCTAGATGCTGGGAATAAACAACAGAAGTGATTGCTCATGCATATTACAGAAGGACGACAAGGTAAAGTGACTTCTGTGGATGGAATCCTGGTTTTGGTGTTGGCACTGGTTTCTCGTTTTATGATAGTTTTTTCGTTTACTGCTGACATGCAAAATCCATTTTTCCTCGCCTATAACAATGTAACGTATAAAAATGGAAGGTCGACATTCCTGAACAAAAGTCTGTTGTGGGTGGTGGAATCTTGCGTTCAGTTCTCAAACGAAAGCTCATGAGGAATTTAAATACTCTTTTTGAAACTTTTCCCAATTCGCTTGAGATGTTATTCACAAAATCTCTGGTGTTCGTCAAGACGAATTAATTCAATAGACGCTTTCCATTTTTTTTTCCATTTAGAGTGGGTCGTCTCACAGAACGAAGCTTTTAGGAAATGTCCACAATCATTTTTTTTCAGCTTGACTCCCAGCTGGCAATACCGTGCTTTACTGCATCCATACACACTCTACAAGTGTTTTAAATGCCTCTACATCAGTGCTACCTTTTAAAATTCATAGTGTAAATAATATGTACTTTTTAAAAGTTTAATTCTGAAATGTGCTATGAACGGCTCACTGCCGGATAGAATAAATGAAAAACTGACTTCAGACGCTGGAGTAGATAGGTTCGCCTATCGTCCGGTTCACACTCCTTCCTGGGTTTTAGACAGGAATAGAAGTTTATCCCTTATTTCCTGCTCAGGATTGGGTTTCCAGTTTCTTCTAAAGTCTGCTTCTAACTCTGTACGTCTAATGTCTCCACCTGAATTCTGAAATTTTACTTACTAATAATTTTCATTTTTCTCTTTCTCAACAACGCCAAACAATACACCTCTACCTTGAGTGGCTCTTGGGTCTTGTATTGGGTGAACATTAGTAAAAAAAAACAAAACAAAACAAAGATTCATGCCATTCAAACTTAGTTCTGCCTTGATTGGTTGACTCTTCATTACTTTTTGAAAAATTCTTCTATATTTTATTTCCAATTATTCGTAAAAATATAAGACTATTTCTTCCTTCCTTTCAGTTGGAGTATTTTTCGACATTAAATAAAGAAGCAGCTTCGAGTAAGACTTGTAGTCGCCTCTGACAGCACAAACTTAGGAATTAGGCAACTGAAGGGTTTATGTCATCTCAGAAAGTTATTTAATATTAGGCAAATGTGTAAGGAATCAAAATTTCAAACAAGAGGTGTTTTCTTAGGCTTTGATTAAAAAAAGATCACTCAAGTCAAATCCCGTATGATGCCATCATTGGAGAGAGAAACCATTCAGTAGATTTTGATCATTTTCGTCTGGCAGCTCCGCCATCCAGATATCTACAAATTTCATGCGACCCCCTGCAGATTCGGTGGAGTCTTGTATAGATTCTACCAAAAGGAAGGCAAGATTGCAATAACTCTTATAAGAAGAATTCTACGGTTCTTTCTCCAACAGGATGGAACACATGCGAAATCGGATACATTTGGCAACACTGGATATGGGATTGAGTTGTGTGGAGAATTATCAGAAATTAGCCAGTGAAAATATGCCCAAATCTAATATAATTGACCTAAACGAGAAAGAAATCGAGAAAATGACTTGGTAAGTACATAAATTATCAAAAATATATATATATATATATATATATATATATATATATATATATATTTATATTATATATATATATATATAAAAAAGGCTCAAACTCTATGGTTCTAATTTATTACATCGGATTTGTAATTACGATCGAATTCATCAGACCTACAAATTTAAAAAGAAATTCGATCGTGAATCCGATGTATTAAATTAGAACCATGGAATATTAGTGTTTAAGCCTTTTATATTATATTCTTGATCTGTCCTGGAAAATTTAGCTCTACCTGGATTTTGTCCTCTTGAAATATATACATATATATATATATATATATATTGACTACTAATATTATCTCTCTCTCTCTCTCTCTCTATATATATATATATATATATATATATATATATATATATATATATATATATATATATATATTTAGTTGGATAGATGTGAGTTTGTGACCCTGGGTTTCACGCTTTAGCGATCCGTGAAACCCAGGGTCACAAACTCAATTTATCCAACCAAATATGTTAGCTCTATCTCTGATATTGAGCGCTTTCTAATAAGTACCGCATATAATATATAAATAATTATACATATATATATATTTATTTATATTCATCTTTTCATTTTATATATATATATATATATATATATATATATATATATATATATATATATATATATATATATGATAAAAACATTGTTTTTTAAGGTATGCTATATTTGTGGGTTAAAGTGCTTACTATCAGGAATAGAGCGTATGTAAATATCAAAGCATACATTGAGATCAAAACCCAACATTTTAATTGCTTTATTATTTACTATATTTGTTTAATTAGACTTTTTCTTGATTTTGTTTGTTTTTATTTGTTTTCGGGGGTTGGTTATCTTATTTGTTTAGTTTAAAGTATTGACAATTTATAAAGTATGTAACATTATCTGCAGTGTATATAGTGAATATATTTGCATATGACACGGTGATATTTTACAAGGTATTCGTTTCTGGTTTTCGATTTTTAGGCAACGTAGGAAAATTTGTTTGCGTGTCTGCATTTTGACATGAGTTTTGATTGTTTACTTAATTTTTGTTGGTCTGGGAAGGTGATTATAGCCATTTTTCTCCTCCACACAAAGTTTTTTTTTTTTTTTTTTTTATTTATTGTTGTAAGCTTTTTCCTTATCTCATATATATATTTAGAAAGCAGTGTGTTATTTCCGTATTTACTATTTGAAAAGTATGTTTTGTTTGCATAATTTTTCTGTTTTCAAGATCATTCAGTTACACTTATGCATATTTTTCTTCATTACCTGCAGCTTTTAGAATGACCTAGTATATTATATTGCATTGCAAACAATTGCTATTTAAAGGACAATCGTTCTTTTCTCTACAGTTACGGATTGTACCTTAAGTCCTTTTGAATACATACACAAAAATATATATATATATATATATATATATATATATATATATATATATATATATATAGTATTAGGTTATTTTTTAAATCAGATAAATGGACAGATATTTTAAAAGA